CTTTATGATTTTTCATCTCTTACTAGAGACTTTCATCTCCATCTTCTGTGAAAACGTAGTTTACCATTGCTGGGGTTAAGTCTGTTCAACCGATGTCCGTATAGTATAGTGGAAGGTGACGAATAGATCCGATTTACTATAGCGTGATGAGATTTTTGCGTGTTTTTCGGCAGTTTAAAGGAATGACCTGCCGCCTAGATATACACCGACGTGCAGTATTAGACTTAGTCATCGCTAGAAGGTGGGACAATGTACATCCTGCGCCTTTATATGCGATGGACACGAAGGCTACAGAATGATGGCAGAGAAAGATAAAATAGCTACGCTACAGACACGCTTTGATGGCAGTTGATTTTCACATCACTACAGAATTTAATGTACTCATTTTGTGTTGTTTTGTAAAATTAGAAATTGCTTTTTTTCTTTTGCTTAATTTATTTTTTAATATACAGTTTTCTCGATTTATGTGGAAAATTTTTAATCCTATTTCTTAATGATAAAAAAGAAAAACTATAGCAAATTTTGTTTATAAAATATTTATGCAGATATATAATAATTTCAATATTTAACTTTGAAAATTTTAGTATTTTTCATAGCATAATACTTTCTGATAAGATTTGAAGATTGTAGTAAGAGGATAAACTTATATGTGACATTTTGAATTTAAAAAACTCGAAAAGGATAAAAAAAGAAAGGGGGAAAGGAGTCGGAAAATGTTATTTTTCCAATCAAATCAAAGAAATTTCGACATTTCTATAGAAATTTTTGTCCTTTAAACAAATAAAGATTGTTATTTTTAGAAAATTCTTCTGATCTTATACATGATTTTGATATTAATGAATATTTGATGTAAGATCTAGAATCAACTTTTTATACTACGTCTGGTATACATGTATATAAGATTACTTAAGGGTTATGCATTTAATTTTGTCAAAATATAAAATGTTAAAATAATAAACTTTTCAAGTACTTTACTATATAAAATGTTGATGTTTTCAATATCGGTATGAAAAAAAAAAAATCTCAAAAATTCTTTTTATCTAGCTCAATGAAACTTCAGCATCAGTTATAACTGGAATATTCGATCTAAATAAAGTACTTATATTGAGAAAATTGTATATATTGTAGACTAAAGAGATGACACTCAGTCTCTGTTGGGTTAAGTTAGCTTGTGTCAGGTGTCTTCATCATCTCACAGCATCCAATCGGATACCTTAGTTTTTCTCTATTAAATCCTCCCGCAGAAACTGGATTCAGTGTTTCGTCCGATAGAAGCTGTGTTTAAAATCTCTCTTACTCGTTTCATATCAGGCGTATTTTTTCTTTGTTTTTTTTTCCTTTCTTATCTAGCTCAGCTTATTGGGATTTAGCAAAAAAGCCTTATCGACGTTGACGGTGAGTCGGCATTGCAGAAATTGACTTTCTTCCTTCCATGTGGAGTTGATTTTCTTTCTGTAAAGAAAGCAAAGTGATTACGTGCTTCTGTCGGAGAACGTCACGTAATTGATGTTGACTGCACAAGAAGCTCACGCGTGATACACTGCATCGAGGCTGAAGCTGACACCGTATATAATTCTAAAGCTAATTGAATGGAAATTACACATCGCATACTAACAATTTACCATATTCTGAATAATAATTTGTTGATTATTCTAGCCGTAACTTTGCCAAACAATAATTCTGATGAGGCGAAACATACTCCAGAAGTTTATAATAATAATAATACAAATATCCATAACAAAAATAGAGTCCTTGTGATAAAAAGGGGCTTCTTATTTATTTATTTTTTCTTTGTTAATAATGCATTAAAGTACTAAGCCATATAAATTTAAATGTAATTCCGTTATAACTATATTAAACTTCAATAATAATAAATAAAAATGGCGTGATGAAGTTAAATAATCTCTAAGAAAGTTTGTTACTCGTTTATGTGTTTAAGCATTAAAATTCACGAATGTTAAGAGAAAATAAATAAATTTAACTAAGTGAAAGTTCAAAAAATACGTCACACACTTAGTAATATTGCTGACGTGTAAAGTTAGACTTCTTTCAATAGAACATTAATTAAAAGTTCGAAATCGAAAATTGCTACCATCGACAATCCATATCATCACCTTTAGGGATTCAAACATCGGATTATCCAAGGCTGTAGATTTTTAATTTTATTGCTAAGCTTCATTCCCTTCACTAAGAAACATATATTACTTTCCTTTCCAACCAGTTGGATTTGCATTGAAATGACGTGTCAACAGTGCCTATTATTAATTATGGTCCTCTCCCCTTTCGACTTTCCATCAATCTCGAGTGCCAAATATTGGCTAGAGAGCGAGATGAAGGGGAAAATATATATATATAATTCAGGCGAAGTAATTTTTTTGATAAATAAGAAAACGAATTATATATGCAAATGATAAAAGCGTTTTGAAATTATATGTAAATGTATAGAATACGTTTAGCAATCGTTTCAACTTTCGAAATTATTTTAACTGTTTGTTTTCAATATAAATTTAAATTCTGTTTCTAAAGTAATGTTTTACATTCAAATTGAGTCTTTGCCATATTTATACATCGAAACGGAATCATTGTTAAGAGTTATGAAAGGAAATTTAAAGAAAAGAATATATTTTTTTTAGATGATTCATAAAAAAAGGTTTAAAATAGAAAAGAAGAAATAGTATTTTTATTTATTCAACATTCAAAAATTTTTAAAATTTTCTATTCTTTCGAATAATCTATGAAAAGAATCGTTTCTATAGAATTTTCTTCCCCTCACTTTAAATCGTCTATCATTTCAAAATGTTATCAGCGCAAATATTTAACAATAAGCTGGAAGAAAACCTATAAATCATAATCCATTCATTGAAAAGCAATAAATCACTCGATTTTTTTTTTGAAAAAAAAAATTATATATAATAATCGAATCGATTATAAATTTTAAAAGTAAAAAGGCGCGACTACTAATCTACTAATCAATAATAAGAAAAGTTGAAAATTTGTTTAAAAAACAAAACAAAAACAGTTGTTTGGGATAGAAATAGGCTAGCTAGAATCAATGAGTGCGTGTTAACAGGCCATTTAAGTTGGCCCCCTTTATGATTTTTCATCTCTTACTAGAGACTTTCATCTCCATCTTCTGTGAAAACGTAGTTTACCATTGCTGGGGTTAAGTCTGTTCAACCGATGTCCGTATAGTATAGTGGAAGGTGACGAATAGATCCGATTTACTATAGCGTGATGAGATTTTTGCGTGTTTTTCGGCAGTTTAAAGGAATGACCTGCCGCCTAGATATACACCGACGTGCAGTATTAGACTTAGTCATCGCTAGAAGGTGGGACAATGTACATCCTGCGCCTTTATATGCGATGGACACGAAGGCTACAGAATGATGGCAGAGAAAGATAAAATAGCTACGCTACAGACACGCTTTGATGGCAGTTGATTTTCACATCACTACAGAATTTAATGTACTCATTTTGTGTTGTTTTGTAAAATTAGAAATTGCTTTTTTTCTTTTGCTTAATTTATTTTTTAATATACAGTTTTCTCGATTTATGTGGAAAATTTTTAATCCTATTTCTTAATGATAAAAAAGAAAAACTATAGCAAATTTTGTTTATAAAATATTTATGCAGATATATANAATAGTCATCGCTTTATCAGACCTGATACTTTCGACTAAATTTAAATATATATATATGAAAATTTTTAGTAAAAACTAAGAAAAAGTATTTATAGTAACTTTAAATTCATCATCAGATAATACTAATAATAAGTAATCTTAAATGCTAAACTATTAGCATCTGATAAAGTTAGCTTTTTAAACCCCACAGAAGGAGAAATTTAAATATTAAAATCGCATAATGAATTTAAATATAAAATCTTTTTCGTTATTCGATTCTTCTCGCCATAAAGAATATATCATCCTTCTTAATTACGGATTATTTGTGCTGATAAGATGACTAATATAATCCTTATACTTATTAAGAAAAGTTTGAGGAATCATTCAGGTAGTCAATTAACAAAAGTTTCGTTCCAGATGACATACCTTCTATCTAATCCCTAACAATCATTAACTCCTCTTCATAATTATGCTCGGATGACATTTTAGCCTATAAACTTATTTTCTTTAAAGAATAAATAAAGAAAAACTGTAAAGTTGTAATCTCGTTTGCTTATCTAGATTAAGCTTAACGATGCCAGTAATTATATCTTATTTTGTTAAAGCAATGAAGTCGATAGTGATTTCGCATCAAAAGCTGATCAAATATATAACAAGACTTAATTAACGAGATGTTATTACTTTAAAGTTAATAAGATGAAGAAATAAGGCAAGAGCCATAAAATTTTTCTCTACTTTCTACTGGATTATTTTAAGTTTAATTCACTTTGCTACATTTAATATCTTTTTTTTTTATATTATTAAAAGTAATTTTCTCTTATAAACTTGCTATTTTTAGATTCTTATCGTCTTGGTTTAAAAAAAGAGAACGTGGAATTTTCTTTAGCTTTTTTTTTTCTAAAGAAAAAAAATTATTTTAATGATGTTGAGAGAGGAAAAAAAATTTTTGTTTTTTTTTCCTATCGAAATCTAACAATGCTAGACAATTGATAAGCTCAATATAAGTTTATCTACTGAAATTTATTTTTTCATAATACGTTTGGCATTTTCCTATCATCTTATCGCGCCATCGTCATCACTCCACTTCTCTTATGTAGATTATTTAATATATTTGTCTCAATACATTTTAAAAATAGTAAACTTTAAAACACTTCTTAAATTAAAAACATTACATTATTCACATTTTTATACGTTATTTAGTTAACGCTCGACATAGAACAATCATCCGCGACGAGTTTGAATTTGATACTAGCTCTCATTTGATAAGATTAAAATCATACTTTTTCTCCTCTTTTTTTTTATTTCAAGAAATTAAAGTATAAAAGCTATGATTTATGTTCTACAGGAACACGTAGAAAATAAGTTATTTTTGGTACTTACTTCCAGAGAAGAAAGAAAGCAACGACCAATGCAACGATCACTACTGATGTGCAAACGGCTATAACTGGAAGGTAAGGAAAACTGGAATGACGATAGATTGTTCCGACAGTCACCAGATGACAATTTTGAAGTCCAGTACCACCCGCTCGACATTGCTGTTGTGATGGCGGGGGAGGAGGAGGGGGAACACCAAACTGCGGAGGTGGAGGTGGGCAGTCGCATTGAGTGTAATCGACTTCTTCGGCTTCCCAATAGGGACTTGGATGGGGATAATGTCCCACTGGTGACTCCATAGGGTCTTCACCCGGGTTGGTACCTATAAAGAAAAAAATAATAAAAATAATAATAATTTCAAACCTAAATCTCTTTTACTCTTCGTTCAAAGACGAAGAAATCAATAGAAAACATAACATAAAGATGCACGTTAACAATGACGTTAGTTACTATTTAAATGCAAATATTACAGATAATTCTCGATAATTGAAACTGCCCGAGGAATTAGTTATAACAGTGGCGTATTTAATGAGAACAATATGTAAATATTAATAATATTTTCATACATAAAAGCTTATTTTAAATATTTTAATTGAAAATAAATCGAAATTTTTCTTCCAAAAATATAATTATTTTTAATTCATCTTTCGAATGCGGGGTCGAGATATTTGCATTTTTATTACATAATTTCACCTTGGAAAATTTATTATTATTATTTTTATTATTTATTTATTTGTTTTTTTTTTTAGCTGGAAAATTTCATCTTAGGACATTAAACACGTATCCTACAGATAATCATATCAGACAGTCCATATTTTTCGTTGAAAATGGAAAAATTTCCATCACAAACTTTTCCCGTTATCGAGTAAGTTTTCCAATGATGCCAGAAAAGCAAGTTTCTTTGGGACGGCTAAAAATTTAAAATTTAAATCAATCCAAATCCTACAGTTCACTCGTCCAAAACCAGTCAACAGGAATTGCCCGTTCCTATCAGTTCCAGCAGAGTGCCCATAGCGGATGGTAAGCGATATNACATAACAAAATATTTGTTTTTGATAAAAGAGAATATAGATTCTGAATGACGTGGGTTCACTTCCCATTTGGTCCAAAACATCATTTTTTTTTCTTCTTTGGACATATGATTTATGTGGCTTATGCTCGTGGTTAATTTATTTATTTTTATTCTTTACATTATCATCATTATTATAAATTATTTTCTGGTCATTAAAACACATAAAAGACCATATTTTTTTTCAAAATTTTCGTAATTTGTATTTATTCAAAATCAATTTTATTTACAATAATTTGTTTGTAAATTACGATTATTATTCTAAAAAATTTTACTTTAACTTGACTTTAGAATGTTTGCTTTACGCGATATCTATGAAATATTCTTTCGAATTATTCGAAGTTATTCTCTATGACTGACAACAGCTTAAATATAAGAGCACTACGAAAAATCATTGGAGTCTTCTCAGTGCTTCACTCTTAACCTGTCATCGCTTTATCAGACCTGATACTTTCGACTAAATTTAAATATATATATATGAAAATTTTTAGTAAAAACTAAGAAAAAGTATTTATAGTAACTTTAAATTCATCATCAGATAATACTAATAATAAGTAATCTTAAATGCTAAACTATTAGCATCTGATAAAGTTAGCTTTTTAAACCCCACAGAAGGAGAAATTTAAATATTAAAATCGCATAATGAATTTAAATATAAAATCTTTTTCGTTATTCGATTCTTCTCGCCATAAAGAATATATCATCCTTCTTAATTACGGATTATTTGTGCTGATAAGATGACTAATATAATCCTTATACTTATTAAGAAAAGTTTGAGGAATCATTCAGGTAGTCAATTAACAAAAGTTTCGTTCCAGATGACATACCTTCTATCTAATCCCTAACAATCATTAACTCCTCTTCATAATTATGCTCGGATGACATTTTAGCCTATAAACTTATTTTCTTTAAAGAATAAATAAAGAAAAACTGTAAAGTTGTAATCTCGTTTGCTTATCTAGATTAAGCTTAACGATGCCAGTAATTATATCTTATTTTGTTAAAGCAATGAAGTCGATAGTGATTTCGCATCAAAAGCTGATCAAATATATAACAAGACTTAATTAACGAGATGTTATTACTTTAAAGTTAATAAGATGAAGAAATAAGGCAAGAGCCATAAAATTTTTCTCTACTTTCTACTGGATTATTTTAAGTTTAATTCACTTTGCTACATTTAATATCTTTTTTTTTTATATTATTAAAAGTAATTTTCTCTTATAAACTTGCTATTTTTAGATTCTTATCGTCTTGGTTTAAAAAAAGAGAAAGAGAGAGGGAGGAGAATAAGGTAAAAATTTTGTAAAATTTTAATTAGATTAAGGGAGAAAATGTTGTGTTTTTATCAAATTTACGATTTAATTAGAACAATTTAAATTGTGTACAATCTTGACAATTTTCTTCTTAATGAAAAATATTTTGACGATATAAACTTTATTTAATACAAACACTTATAGTAAAGATACGCAGGTTGCTTTAATTGAGGTCTTATTACACGTCAGTCGTCAGTTCAAATGACAATAATCCCGTAGGAAACGTAATTAAACTAACAGTTGTCAGTTATAAGCAGCAGATGTCATTAATTCGAAGGAATAAAGATAGTTTGAACGGCAATTGATAAATTGAAACAAAAATTAATTAGCTGTATTTTTCTATTTTGTTATAAGATTAATGATCTCTAGCATCTTTTGAACGTTGAACGGTACTTAAAAAATCATTTATACATATATATGTATATATGAATATCTTTCTCTTTTCGATATCTTACTCTATATAGAACTTCTAGAGTATTATAATAGAGAAAATAGCTTTAAATTTTCCATTAAATTTGTCATTTTTTCCCCTTCTCCAAGAGATTTTTGCTACTTGGAAAAATGAGAAATCATTTGTTGTATAGAAGAGGAGAGAAGAAAAAAACTCCAAGATCGACTTTATCATGAAAATACTTTTCTAGTAGATAAATATGCAGTTTAAATAACTATTGATAAAAATCATTACCTGCTAATCTACTCAATAATGTTTAAATTACGATATGGAAGCAGTTACATTTGAATCTCTATCAGTAACTTGGATAAAAATTTTACTTTTTAAAATAAAAATACATTGAAAAAAAAAATAAAAATAAGGAAAATTTCATCTTAGGACATTAAACACGTATCCTACAGATAATCATATCAGACAGTCCATATTTTTCGTTGAAAATGGAAAAATTTCCATCACAAACTTTTCCCGTTATCGAGTAAGTTTTCCAATGATGCCAGAAAAGCAAGTTTCTTTGGGACGGCTAAAAATTTAAAATTTAAATCAATCCAAATCCTACAGTTCACTCGTCCAAAACCAGTCAACAGGAATTGCCCGTTCCTATCAGTTCCAGCAGAGTGCCCATAGCGGATGGTAAGCGATATCCCGTCATGCACCGCGAACCACACTCTGGTATCTTAATCGAACATTTCAGTAGTCTTTTGTCATCCTTTCCATAGAATTATGGCAAAATTCTCCATTGCTAAAATGAATAATTCTACCAACCGTATAAGTTTCCATAAACACGTGTTCCTCAATCCAGACATATGTTACGCTTCATAATTATAAAATTTTACTACAACTCATGCTTAAAATTAATGATAAAATATAAGTATAAAAAGTATAGATTTTGTTTTTTAACTACTTACCCGACTGAATCGCCTTTAGCTAAAAAAAAAACTAGTAAGAATTTTTAATTAATTTAATATTTAAACAAAAACTGAAATGAATAAAAGTCAAGTTTATATTTATGATTTTTTAAAGATTTTTATATAGGCTTATATATATATATATATATAAATTTTTAAAATATTCGTTTTTAAAAGGTTATTTTCGTGTAGTAAAAAAAGTACAACTTTTACTTTTGAATATTTTGAATGTAGATATATCCCTTAGAATTCCTATAATAAGACGACGACGACTTGCGGCGATTTCGAATAAATCTTCAATCCACGATTCAATAGTTCTGTATCAAATATTCTTTCTAGAAATTTTCGAATCCTGGAGAGAATATTTAATAAGGAACTACATAATTCAAAGAAATGCAAAATAATAGTTAGAGAGAGAGAGTTAAAAAAAATTGAACTTTTTCGATATATATTTTTTTTCTTTTTACTTTAAAGTTGACATTTATGAATTTCTCCTCAAGCTAGAATCGAATTATAAAACTTTATATAGGTTAAAAAAAAAATGATAATACTATTTAAGGAGTTAAAGGATTTCTAATTAATTCTATATGCGATATACCTTACAGGATAGGAAGAGACGAAGAGAAAAATGTAACAATATAAGCCGATTAATGTATGTTTAATAATAATAATAATAATAATAACTTTTTATTTTAGATTATTGACATTATTTTCTGCGATTATTTTTTACTTTATCGTAATTAGTTAGCATTAAAATCGAATTTTAAATCATTAAAAAAAAATACCTGTCTTAACTGTAGCAATATTCGCTGTTCCTTCAAAATCTTTCATCCGAATTAATTTACATATGCAACCAGTATTTTCGATTTTTATCATTATTAAACTATTATTAGTATTTTTTTTTATAAATAATAAATAATAATGACATTAATCCTTAGAAATAACATAAATTTTAAGAGGCTTTATTAATTTTAACAAGCTTTTAAACCTTGTAAAAAATTGATTATAAAACGATGTTTATTTATAGATTTTTAACCTTAATATTTATATAATAATGATTTTATTAAAGAGAAGTTTTAAAAAAAGAGAAAGAGAGAGGGAGGAGAATAAGGTAAAAATTTTGTAAAATTTTAATTAGATTAAGGGAGAAAATGTTGTGTTTTTATCAAATTTACGATTTAATTAGAACAATTTAAATTGTGTACAATCTTGACAATTTTCTTCTTAATGAAAAATATTTTGACGATATAAACTTTATTTAATACAAACACTTATAGTAAAGATACGCAGGTTGCTTTAATTGAGGTCTTATTACACGTCAGTCGTCAGTTCAAATGACAATAATCCCGTAGGAAACGTAATTAAACTAACAGTTGTCAGTTATAAGCAGCAGATGTCATTAATTCGAAGGAATAAAGATAGTTTGAACGGCAATTGATAAATTGAAACAAAAATTAATTAGCTGTATTTTTCTATTTTGTTATAAGATTAATGATCTCTAGCATCTTTTGAACGTTGAACGGTACTTAAAAAATCATTTATACATATATATGTATATATGAATATCTTTCTCTTTTCGATATCTTACTCTATATAGAACTTCTAGAGTATTATAATAGAGAAAATAGCTTTAAATTTTCCATTAAATTTGTCATTTTTTCCCCTTCTCCAAGAGATTTTTGCTACTTGGAAAAATGAGAAATCATTTGTTGTATAGAAGAGGAGAGAAGAAAAAAACTCCAAGATCGACTTTATCATGAAAATACTTTTCTAGTAGATAAATATGCAGTTTAAATAACTATTGATAAAAATCATTACCTGCTAATCTACTCAATAATGTTTAAATTACGATATGGAAGCAGTTACATTTGAATCTCTATCAGTAACTTGGATAAAAATTTTACTTTTTAAAATAAAAATACATTGAAAAAAAAATAAAAATAAAGATTTACTATATTTTCTCCTATTTTTCTGTCTTTTCCTTGAAAAAAAAAATTAAAACAGGAATTATAAAAGTTAACTGTAATTTGAAAAGTTACTTTAATTATATATTAAATTTTATTTATTGTTAAGTAATATAATATAAACTAAATTAATTTTTATCCATTAAAAATTATATTAAAATAAAAAATTTAATTTTATAATTTTGTAAATAACTGTGGTGCTTTATCAGATATTTTTGCAGTAATAAATTATAAAATTTATAGCTGGATGGAGGAGCATGATTTATGTGGCGCCATCTAAGAGAAAAAATTTAAGATAGTGAAAATATTTTTATAGGATTTATATATATATAAATACCTTTACATATTATCTATACACAGAATAGCCTATATACAATATATATAAACACACACACACACAGCTTAAACTAATTTAAAAAGCAAGAAAATTTTCATTTAAAATATTAGAGTAATGAATGACTTAACTTTACTAATTTCTAGAATAATATAATAATTAAAATTATAAAGTCATGTTATTATAGAATTTAACAACATATTTGCATTCCTATTCTGCTAAATATGTTCAAACTTCCCCGTTTAAATTCTCATTAGAATTATTACAATATTAATTTTAATGAGGTTAAAATCATAATGACATAGCGAAAACAAGTTATTTTATGAAGTTTATTTTTAATTTATTGATTTTTTAGATTTTGATATATTTTTCAAAAAAAATGTAATAAAAAAATGTTATAAAATTTATGAGAAATAATCAAATTTGATACATTTTATAAATCATTTTTGTAGATAACTTTGTTATCCTTTCCTAGAAATTTCAGTGAGTAAGCAATAGTTCTAAATCAATTTGTTTCTGTAGATGTGACTCAAATGTTAAATGTAATAATTTCAAAAATTACCGTTTTTTTCTCTCTCTCTTTTCTTTTCTATATAAAAAAAAGTTTACAAGTCTTGAATCATCAATAAGTTGCGAATTATAGAAAGTTTCGTCAAAGCTTCCTGTAATTTTTCATCCAATTTTTTACTTCTGTCCTTATTTTTTTTTTAATCTTAAAGATCAAAAATTGTTAAAGTATCGAAAAATGACAAAAGATAATCTAGATTTAAAAGAATTTTCTAAGAACTTTCTACTTTAAAAAAAAAATTTATGTCTTCATCCACTTTTTATCATTTTATGTGATGCGGATAAAAGATCAAATTATCTAAAATTATTACATCTTTCTAGTTTATAAAACGTTATTTTTAACTATTTTTTTAAGTTAAATCGATTTTATAGCATTATTTTTATTTAAGAAAAAAGAAATACATTCTAAATATATTTTGAAAGTAAAACACAAAAACTTAGAAGTCTACTGTACTAAAGACACTTATGAATACAGCATGGTATATGTCATAAGGCAATGATTTCCGCAGGAACAGGAAGTAAGCATCGAACAGACAAGGTTTCGTACAGGAAATGGCATCGTCGTGTCATCTTTCTGTCCGAAAAGGGATCTTTTCCTTCAAGGGTGACAGGAAATGACGTCATTATTGCCAATTGAAGTATCGTCCGAAAGAGATATTCAGAACAAGCAGAAATAAGGCGATTTTCCAGATAAAAGTCATTTTATAAAATGAAACTAAAGTGATGACTCGTTCAACTTTTAAGATTTATTAACTTCCATTAATGTAAATTTTCGTTATTATGTAGATTTTTAAGTATATTTATCCTATACAATTAATAATCTTAAACTTCTTTCTCGTTTANTATATATATATATATATATATATATATATAAAGCAATAAAAAGTATAAAAAGCAGAAAGCACATTCGGCTTTTTGATAACAGTTGTTATTGTGTTCTCCTTGACAACCCGAAGTGAATTGTCTACTTAAACAATCTGGTTGTCACAACAAAAATAAAAGACTTCTCGGATGAAATTTAATACTATCAAAAGTCATTAAACTCTATCAACAATAACATAAAAAAGAATTATAAAAATTTAATTAACTTTTGATCGTCAAAAAAAAAATATCTCTGACGATGAGCTAAATCTTACACTATATTTATTATATAAGTGACAATATATTTTAAATTTATTTTTAAGATATTTGTATATTATTTATAAACAAGTATTGACAGACAATATAACATCAGTCAATGCGTAGACCTATTGTTTTATATCCTTAGAAGAAATATTCTTAACGATTGGGATAAATTAGGAGATGATGCATGTTAATAAATATAGAAAAAAAATTAAATATAAAGAAAAGACATACCTCAGTTTATAATTAATGTGTTATTTTAGTAAATGAAAAGAATTTGAAATCATAAATCACTTTTAAAATATATTTAACGTTAATGTAGCCGTGTAATAAATTAATAAAATATTTAAGAATAATTTTTCATTAAAAATAGTTTTAAAAAAATATTTTCTAAACGGTTTAATCGTTAATTTGAAAATAATGTGTTTTAAACTTATTAAAATAAGAAACTTACAGCTCAAATTTCTATTCTATAAGAATAAAATATAAATGAAACAAGCCACTAAAAATACATATTATTATATTAAGATATCATTCTTTAACATAAAATGAATGCCTAATTTAATTCTGTTTAGTTTTATTAACGCAATGACTAATAATTCTTGGTCGTATTGTATAAAAGAAGAGTCATCCCAATCTCATCTTTAGCAATCAAATGTTGCAGGCTATTAAAGATCCATTGATGTATAGCTCGAGTTCAGGATCTTTTGTAGTAAAGGAAATGATGATTCTTTGTTAAATCTCACCCCAGCAGTCATTACCATCGTTAACTCTTATCTGTCCGTAAATCTGAGTCTGCTGCAGTTGGCCTATAATTATCCCCACCCACAACATTTGTGTATAAGAGGGTAGGACCCTTGACACGTGATTAAGAAAGACTAATGAGAAGTCGACAGTTTTGCCGATAGGAGGTAATATTGCTGGAGTCTTTCCATGCATTTTGTCTTGTTGATTTGACAGGAAAAGACATAATTTTCATAAAACTGGATGCTATCGACGATAACGTATGCTATATATTTCTCTGGTTTTAAAATTTAAACATTGATCTTTACAACAAAAATTATTAATAGTTGACATATATTATAAATTCATCAACCTATCATAATTACTTATTATACAAAATTATTCTCTCAAGGGAATAATATTTTATGGAATAAAGTCTTTAAATTCATAAACAACTTTCATATAATTCATTGTAAATGGCTTTAAATATAATATTTTAAATGTAATTATTTAGATGGTCTTTTAAAATATGCGTATATATATATTTTAATGAATTGATATAAAATACTTTTATGTTGGAATTCTAAAAGGTTTCGAATTCAGAATCCATTACGTTTGTGCAATCATTGGAAATTCTGAAAATTGTTAGTCTGATGGAGAATTTTTGTCAGTAACTTGAAACATTCTGACTGAATTTGACGTTTAAATAAACACAAGACATTCCTAATACTTTCTGGATTATTACTAGAAAAGCTTCAACTGTTTTCAATGGATTCAAAAGACTTTTACATTTTCTTTTTTCATCTCTAAGCAAATTTATCAATTTTTCTGCGGCATAAATTTATATTTTAATTAAAATTTAAGCATAAATTTATCTACTTGTATATTATTCAAGCATTTAAATAGATTCTTAGATACAATTAGAAATGAAATATATTGAAAAATAGATTATAAATTAATAAAGATAAATGTCACTTTGAATAGATAATGATGAACTAAAATCTCTTAAAACTATACTAATTTTAATTAATTTTCTCGCCAGTTTAAATCATCCATATATCAATTTTATCTTTCCTAAATCTAAAATAAATACAATTATGATCCATTTTTATTTAATTTTCCCCTATTAAAATTATTTTATTTAACAAGAATTAAATAACTAGAAG